GTTAACGAACTTTACGTCACCCACTGAACAGTTTTCCCTGAATGACAATGTTCAATATTTGGCAGAATTTTTTAAAGCAGGTAACCATAATGCTCTGTTTGGGGTCCTGGAAACACTCGGGCATCTTTAACAGCTCAGAACACACAGTTAACACTATTTTATCACCTTGAAATGTGTTAAATATTCCTGATTTTATGTCAGTTGTTGAGAAACATGAATTTGAGTCTTGTTTTTTGGTGTTTTACAGCTGGTTCATGAGGAGTCTAACAAAGAGTTAAACCTTGCTGTGGTCTCACTGACCCCAAAAATAAGTAACGTCCCTATTTAGAATGATACTGTATTTCTTGAATGTATTGACTTTTTGAAAAACAATAAAAGTAATATTTGTCCATGCATAATTATATATATAATTATATAATACATGAAATAATTCTTTATTTGGTGTTGTAACAATACTTTCTGGTCAATTTGTTATTTTGTTATCTTCATCAAATGTCCAAGGCAAGTTTGTGGCAAAGGGAAAGGTTACCACTTCAATAATTTTCTACATATTAGGTTTTAATAAGGTCAGAAGAAAAAAAAACCTTTAAAGGCAAAAACAAATACAATAGAACTGTTCCCGGCCTCATCGTACTTTGGAGCGAGCACCAGATGTCCAAGGGCACTGTCCACTGAATAGTAATGAAAGTGTTCCTGAAGGCATAGTGCAGGGATACAGCCATTAGTATCTGTCATAAACAGACACAGAACACAATAAGGAAGTAAGGTCAACAAAATACAAGGCTGAAAAATCAAATGACTTTATTTATCTGTCACTGGATGGTGTGTGATGGGCCTCCACATAATACATGCCGAGCATGGTTGAACTGTAACAACAGACTCACTGCTGTAGAAATAAATGAACCTCAGCACTCAACAAACAAACATTAAACATTTTAATCTCACTCTCCTCTCTCCAGACTACAGGTTTATTTGAAATGATTGAAAAGATGCAGGTAAGATGATGCATTGATCTTTTTTTATTTTGTTTCGGCTTCCTAAGCTGTACTCACAAAGCAACTAACCAGTCAGTGTATCTCTTCCTAATTCTGCGGCACTTTGGCCCTCTCCTTGGCTACAATTACTTCTTTACATTTTGCACATGAGAAGGATATTGAGTCTGTGGTTACAGAGGAGAGCCGTCAGAGCATTATGTGTGTGTCTCGGCGTATCTGTTAACATTCTGGTTGTAACGCTGGCTGGCAACGCTGTAAGCTTGTTATCTCACCTTTAGAAACTGTCTCCTTGTTTCTGAAACCTTTAGAAAGGGTGTTTATTTTGGGGCATTAAGATTTATGATGGAGTACATTTTGGTCATTGTTTTCAAAAATGAATTACAGTCATAATAGCTTTCACGTCTGGCAGTGTACGTTGGCATAACTGAATATTTTAAAAAGAAATATTCCTCTTTAGCAGGATGTGTGATGCAGGACTCTGTTTTTTCCTCAATATATTGATATGACGTATCATCTACCTTGGCACTAGGCACCATCACCTAGCCCTGATTTAGTATCATTGCATCTCTTTTTCTTCACCATTCCCATTCACTCTCTTTCACACATACACACCTCATGTCCAAAGGGTGTTTCAGTGTCACTTAGTTCAGCATCCCCTTAATCCCTGCGGTCTCATTACCACACTTCTTCTGTATGCTAACAGACTTTTCAGTCACTCCCAAATGCCTGCTCTTTAGCATCCGTTAATTTTCTATTTCGGTATCCGCTCGCTGTCATGTATCTCTTTCTCTATCTTTCCATCTGTCCCTCTTGAACTTTGCTGCGTTGCCTGCTGCATACCTCTTGGGATATCACTGTGCTGTTATGTAATGAGGTTGATAATTTACTCCCAGTTTGTTTTGTTGCAGTCATTTAGAACATGATTGTTACACTACTTTATGTGGAAGTCTAATCAACCACAAATGTATTTGTGTTGAATTTTTTTGAATGCAAAGGCAGCTGCTGTGTTGACAACTGAGCATGACCCTTCTCCCTCTCTCTCTGGTTTTCTTATCTCAACCTCTCCTCTCATAGGGGAACAGGATGGATGAGCAGAGATGCACCTTTCCTCCCCCACTCAAGGTACGATTCTCCACATAGAGACGGTATTATTCACGGGATGCAGTCATTGTCTCAACAACAGCTCCACCATATCTTTCTTTGCCAGACAGGCTGATTACTTCAGCATACTGTAGCACAGTTTTATTTATAATGCAGTTCAATGCAATGCTCTCAAGTCTTGCCATCAGTTTTTATCCAGACAGAGTTAGTTTGGATTCAGAATCATATCCTCTGATGCTTTGCTCTGCAGACAATAATGGTGAAATCGTAGTGACAAATAATTTTACAGGATATGATGTTGATGTAATAAAGTTTTTTAAACCATCAATGTGCCTAATAATGACAAAACTTTGATCAAGCATTGCATTGATTCCTAGTTGGTTACCAAACTGATTTTAATTACATAACAGTTATGCAATTACTCCGAAACAGTGTCTCTTGGGATTATAGAGTTGGACAGTGTGGTTATTTTTAATCTTTGATGAGGAAACAAAGCTATTTTTCCCTATTTTTTGCAGACTGAGGAGGACTACATTCCATACCCAAGTGTCCATGAGGTAGGATGATGATGTGCAGCAGTAGCACTTTTCACCATGTTTGTGTAATCAGTTTAATTTAATTCGTGTCCTGAAATAACTTTCACATTTACACCATTCTGTTTCTCAACCCTTGTTGTCTTGCATTTTGGGACAGGTGTTGGGCAGAAAAAGCCCCTTTCCTCTCATCCTCCTGCCACAGTTTGGGGGTTACTGGATTGAAGGAATGAACCATGAGCTGAGTGACACAGTGGACACGGAACAGCTGCAGCCTCTGTCCCCAAACACCCGCACCAAGCTGGAATGTAACACAACAGCTATAATCTACCGGAAGCACTTCCTGGGCAAGGTTATTATACATTTTTATTGTCATCTTGAAAAAGCACAAGCTAAACTGAAAAAAATACAATATTTGTGACAATGTAAGGAAGCTCAAAGATGATGAAGACACAAATATTAATATAAAAAAAAAAAAATAGAGGTAGGGTGATGCCAAAAATCCAATGCAAAATAATTTCTTAACACATTATAAGTCCAGAGACACTCGTTTGTTTTTATACTAAATTAATTTCTTCCAACTTCTTTCATGATGTTGTAAATTCTCTCTCTTGAATTTTAATGGTTTGAATTTTCCCTATTATTTTTTTCCAGTCATGGATGTATTGCCATGACTTTTGAAACCATCATTTATTTATAAGGCTCAAAGCAGAAATTATAGAGAGATTATATAAACATTTTTATATAAATATTTATAATTATAACACTGAATTTCTGTTGGCATTCGACCAAGTAATACAAACTGTGCTATATTAATTATAAGCAAAATTATATTGACCTTGTACGATTAATGCACTGCATCTGTATTTCCCATGAGTTTTCTCTCCAGAAACTAAATGCAGTAGTTGTGTTGTTCTGCAAATTTTCCCCCATTGCTGATTAGTTAAACATTTCCTAGATTTCTTTCCCATCTTATCTTAGCTTGTACATCTTCATCTTCATCATGCAATTAAATATGATAGTAACATCATGTTATTTAGCAATATAGTCAGTTCTACACTTTTTTTTAAACGGTATGTTCTACTTTCAAAGTGATATTACTCAAGTAATACTCACTAAGCCCTGCATTATAACAGCTTCCTTCCTGCTCAAATGTGTTACGCTTGTATAATATTTCACAATCAATTTCACTTCTTGCTCATTATAGTAATGAAACGACTAAGCAACAAGCAAATCCCAGTTGAGTAAAGCACTTACAGTGACCAGCCTCACTTTTTGGCACCTCATACACTGTTGCTAATGAAGATGCATTAGGCTTTGCCACCTGTTCTTACACACGATAATATGAACAAATTTGATCTGCTTGTAGTAAAAGAGCAAAAGTAGAAGAAAAGGTACTCAGTTTGGAACGATATGGGTAATGACTGGAGCACATGCACATGTCTCATGCACTCTGTTTATGACAGATACTAATGGCTGTATCCTTGCTCTGTGCCCTCAGGAACACTTTAATTACTATTCAGTGGACAGTGCCCTTGGACATCTGGTGTTCTCTCTAAAGTACGACGTGATTGGTGACCAGGAACATCTCCGTCTAATGCTCAGGTAATTTAATAATTATGCATTCATGGTGCACCATAATGTTGCTTAATTTACAGAGAAAATCTGATGTCTGATCAACAAGAAATAAATGCACATTGTTTTGTTCCTAAAATGCCCAGTGTTGACTGGATAAACACATCCTCCCAGCATGGGTGTTATCATAAGAGTCATAAAGCTGGAGAGAGTGTCAACAACACTGTCATTCCCACAGCAGAGTAACAGATGGACTATTTAGGCCAGCAAGTGGGTGGGGATGGATAGAGAGAGGGAGGGAGGGAGGGAGGGAGAGAGAGAGAAGGCAAAGAGAGACATGTGTGGGGAAGTTTGATGATGGTCCATACCGGATCATCTCTTTCTCATCTGATAAGTTCTGAGAAATGTTGCATCACATTATATGGCTTGATTGTTTTATGACTTCACCAGGAACAAGATGAAAACCTACCATGATGTGATCCCCATCTCCTGTCTGACAGAGTTTCCCAATGTGGTCCAAATGGCCAAGGTACGAAGAGCTTTTTTTATAATGCAGAGATTGATCTGCTGTGAGTGTCTAACCACATTCTGACATTTCTCTTTCTCTTTTTTTAAATCCAAGCTTGTCTGTGAAGAGGTCAACGTGGACCGCTTTTTTCCTGTCCTTTATCCAAAAGTAAGATCTGGTTTGGTTTGTATTGTTTGCAGCTGCTGTATATGCTTTTTCCAGGCCCACACATCAGATGATTTGAAGCATAGAGTTGCAATTTAGACCACTGAAGTCTCATGTTAGCTTCAGATCAACTTTTAAATCAATTTTTGCACAAGACGAGCATTGTGTATTTTGTTACGCATCACTAGGACACTGTCTTAATGGCCAGTATGAATAAGCAAAATCATGTTCATATGGTCACCTGACTTGTTTTAATAATTCTAAAACTGTGCACCTATCTTTTAATATATATATATTTTTTTACAGGCTTCAAGACTTATTGTCACCTTCGACGAACATGTGATAAGCAACAATTTCAAGTTTGGGGTTATTTATCAAAAGTTCGGACAGGTGAGCTATAAAGCCTGGTGTTGTAGAAGTGCATGCATCCTTTATATTCATTTTGTTCAGTCCATGAACAATGAGAATGTACAATACATTGCAATTTCTGATTTCCTCAAGGAAGCTGATTATCCCTCAGTCTCAATTATGGGCTTACAATCCAGCCCGGTCACTGCGGCTGTCTTTATCACTCCCTCTCATTTTCTGAGGCAATCACAGCCCTCTTGTTTACTATGTGGGGGGCAGAAGAGCTATTGAATGCTTTGCTGAGGGCACTTGTACCTTAGAATAGAGACCTCAGTGTGTTGAGATCTGCATCGTTGATCCCTTTAAGCCTGCAATAGTTTACATTGTTAAATACACTGTAAATGAGCTATGAGCCGTGTCAAAGAAGGCCCTCTGCTCACGCTTCAGGACATTTTCTATTCATGAGGGGTGCTAAGTGAAAGGCATGATGGTTAAGTAGGAATATTGCATATATAAAACAAAACAGAAATACTCAATAAGCTTCTACTCAGGCATTGTTTCTTTGTGTTTGTTTTGAGGCAGGCTTTTGTGTTCACATCACCACTCCACTTGCCGACAGTAGATAATGAACAGTCTATCACAGCTGATCGTTATTGCACAAGCTTTCCTAAAGCCCATTCTGTTATACCTACTGTTGTAATTGATTATAGCCATGTCTGTAATCTCAAATGGAAATGCATTGTGTTTGAATAAGAGTGCCAAACACACATTGAATGCACTTTCTTGCATCCACTTATTGACCCTAATGATCTGCTGAAGTAAAAGCCCACTTTACGTAAAATACTCATTGTGCCATTGCTGGCACTCTAGTGTGTAAATCTTACCTCTTGTTAACAGTTTTCATTTTGCCTCTCAGACATTGTCATAATATAGTCATAAGTGCCAATATTATTGGATGCTAACATTGTAATGACCAGTACACAGTATACTGTTCAAATCCTTCCCAGCACTTTTAACTTGTGGTTGCTGAAATCATTTTGTCCTCCAAGCCTTTATGTTTATGTGTTTTTTTTACTGGTTACAGACTTCAGAGGAAGAGCTGTTTGGCAACAGTGAAGAGAGTCCTGCCTTTGTAGAATTCCTGGAGTTTCTAGGAGAGAAGATTGAGCTGCACAACTTTAAAGGGTGAGGATCTAAGTGTGGTTTGAAGGCACTTAATATACTCAACCATACATTTCATAACAGGATGCCTACCACAATTTACATTATATCAGGCTAGCAACAGGATGGATGGTCATGCTACTGCAGTGATGGTGGGGAATATCTTGTTAGCCATGGTTCTGTGTGCTTGCAGTTTTCGTGGAGGGTTAGACGTGACTCACGGGCAGACTGGCACTGAATCAGTCTACTGCAACTACCGCAACAAAGAGGTCATGTTCCATGTGTCCACAAAGCTGCCTTACACAGAGGGGGACACCCAGCAGGTACTGTAATACAATACCAGACTAACACACCTTTTATAATTCATTACAAGCAGTCAGACAGGTTCCCTCTGGGTATCGTAGTACCATATTTTGCATGTAGGTCCCAGTTGTGCGAAACAACCGCAGTGCACATTTGCAAAAAAAGAGACAGAAGACACTAGAAGTAAACATGAATCACTTTAAATGTATGTTTTAGTGTCTGCATATATGAACGGCAGTCCTTCCTCACAGTGATATAAAGCTGAGATGCAGTGCCACATTGCTCATACAAACGTGTCTTCCTCCTTCTCTCTTTGACATATTCACATAAACACAGATTAATTAGTGCAGGCTCACACACCATTTGCTATCGTGGTTTGTGCAAACACAGATGAGGCAATGTCTACATGTTCAGTCTCCCCAGCAGTAAAACATAGGCTCCTTTGAGCCAGTCTGTAGTTATTCAGGTCTTCATCAGGGAAAACAGCACTCCCTGGTGGTTTTTCACAAATTCACATGCTTTCAATTGTGAGATGTGAAGAAAGAAGAATGAAGAATGAACACTTCTTTGTAATTATTTGTAATTTACATGGTTCCCAATACCTCATTTGCTAGCTTTGTGTTGTCTTTTTTGTTAAAAAAATGTTTCTTTGTAAAGTATTCTTTGAATTAGACTTTAGGCTTTATCAACAATTAGGGACTGCAGCAAAAGGGTCTCTTACTTATTGTCTTTCAAATTCAATTCCAACATTAAATATGTCCTGAAACATCATAGATTTTCTGCAACCTGCAGATAACAAATAACATTCTTACATATCATTCAATGCTTGGGATCAGTATCCTTTTATTTTACAGTAACTGTCTTGAGAGAACCATACTAGATTTACATATAAATTAATCTGTCATAAGTTGATATGTGGCTGGTGTGTTGCAGTTGCAGAGAAAGCGTCACATAGGGAACGACATTGTGGCCATCGTATTCCAAGAGGAGAACACTCCCTTTGTACCGGACATGATCGCCTCCAACTTTCTCCACGCCTACGTTGTGGTCCAAGTGGTCAACCCCTGCTCTGACAATGTTCTCTACAGGGTACCTTATTTCCCTCACGGTTGACTTTGTTCCTGTGATAAACACTACATTAAACCTCATCTTACTCTTAATTCGTAGGTGTCAGTGACAGCACGAGATGATGTACCTTTCTTTGGCCCGGCCCTCCCAAACCCAGCTGTCTTTAAAAAAGTACGTTTTTAAAAGTAACTTGTAGACCTGAACTACTGTTTCCTCTAGCCAGTGCACTTTCCTCCTGTTGGTCATCATTTAGTTTCTAATATGAGGGCTGGTCTCCTTGTTCTTCTCTTTCCAGGGCCCTGCATTCCATGAATTCCTTTTTACTAAGCTCATCAATGCAGAGTATGCCTGCTACAAAGCTGAGAAATTTGCCAAATTAGAGGTGAGTTGTTGAAAAGCATTTAGAACATTTCTGTCATTTTGCCAGAACCATGCAAAATATCCTTTGTTTCCCTTTCATTCATTTCCCTCTTTGTGTGTGTGTATGTGTTTGAGGAACGAACGCGGTCAGCCTTGTTAGAGACCCTTTATGAGGAGCTCCACTTGAACAGCCAGGCCATGATGGGTATTGGAGGAGAGGACGACAAACTGGAAAATGGGAGTGGAGGAGGAGGGGGATTCTTTGAGTCCTTCAAGGTAACTGGAGAGGCAGGAGCAGAAGCCGAGGCTTCAAACTGACAGCTTCCCTTGCTGCAACTCTCTGCTTCCAAAAAACAAAAAGAGTATGACAATAAGTAAAATAAATGTGCTACAACATGTTCTTTGTAGTGATTTAATTTCTATATTTTGCTTTTACTACCACAAAGATATGAGCACTGTTTTTTTTTACAAAAACTGAAATTGTAATTAAAGTTTAGATTTACCTTCATTAAAGAAGTAGTTTGACATTTTTGAAAATACAGTTATCTGCTTTCTTGCTGAGGGTTGGATGAGAAGATAGATACCACTCTCATGTGTGTCGGTAAATAGAAAGCTACAGCCAGCAGCAGGTTATCTTAGCTTAGCATAGAGACTGGAAATTGGGTAAGACAGTGGCTCAGAGCTTCAGACAGAACCCACATTGCTCCCCGAAAAAACCCCACAAATTGTCGTTTTTTACACTTTGGCTTTTGTATGGATGGAACAAATTACATAGCCAAATTACAAGCCAGCCAGCTATCTCCACCCCCTAGTTTCCAATCTTTATGCTAAGCTAAGCTAAGCTAAGCTGCAGATGGGTGTAGCTTCATATAGTGGACACATTTGAGAGTACTATTGATCTTCTTATCTAATGTTCATCATTGTTACTGACTGCTTTACTGCCATGAACAGTATAAAATTGGCATCAACAGTAGTTACAATAATAATTTTTTGTACCAGCTGTCATATTTTTCTCCTGTGGATGTAAAAAAGGGTGTCTCCTTTCTGGTAGTCTTTCAGGATTGTTCTTGTCTATATGCAAGTTGTGGGATGTAAGGGCTTTGTCAGTCTCCCTCAGTCTCTATCAGTCTGACTGAAGAGAAGCTCTGCTGCTCAGTCCTGCTGGAACACACCACTCTTTACTTTCCAGATTTTCTTCCCCTTGTTTCCTAGCTGTTTTGGCTGCTGTGCTCTGCATGCTCCAGTGTTTAGTCACTGGTCACTTATTGATATGATTCTGTCATCTCTGTATGTCATAATATCAAAGGGAACAGATAGATTTCTTTCACCATCAGATGCCTTTGCCTCTTCATTCTGCTCCACGCCTGCAAAGAGGTACACTGGGCTTTAAACTTCTCCTGGCTGTGTTTAAACTCAGTGTGGTCAGACATCTGTTCGCCCTTCTACTTCCCCTCTCTTCTCTTACCACCTATCTACACATAATGACTTATCTGAACCCCCCTCCGGGCACTAAAGCTTAGCAGTGTTCTCTGTCGCTTCCTTGTCTGTCAGGATTAGCATCAAGCCAGCTCTCTTTGCCTGTAGTGGTCAGTGTTCAGGAACAGCCCTGAGGCTCCTCTTGGCCTGTAATGCTGTACAGCGATGCTGAGGGGTCACAGGGGTCAGTGCCATCTGAATGTATTTCCTCCTCCTCGTCTCTCTTTGTAGCGGGTGATCCGCAGCAGGAGCCAGTCTATGGATGCCACGGGTCTTACTTTCAAGAAGCCGCACACAGTCTCCACTAGCCTCAGCAGCAGCTTTAACCACGACCCCGCAGAGAGCCCCAAATTCCCAGGGATAGTAAGTACAGTGCCACTCCTCCTGGTCTTGAGTGAGGAGTCTCGCTTCTTCTGCCTCCCCCAGCAGTTCTACTAAAGTTTCTGCCCCCTCCTCCCTCACTTGCCTGCTGCACTAACTTCTCACGGAGAAGGGCTGCACGCTCGGTCGAGTGGAGCATTTACGCCTGGGTCTTAAACTTGGCTCTCACATTGCAACAGTCGCACATTGTCTGCCACCACAAAATGAAGTGATTCGACACTCATAGACTTGAATGCTTGTAGGACACAAGGCGAACTTCTCCCCTGGGTTAAAGCTGCTTCTGATACTTACTGTTTTTACCTGTGTTCCAATAATATGTAATCCACATGCATCTGCATTGTTCATAAGTCCTCACATGAATTCTAATAAATGTGGGTTGGTCCTGTGTGTGTGAGTGTGTGTGTGTGTTTGTGTGCTTGTGTGCATGCCAGCCAAAGCTTGTGGACTTTTTTGGGTGATCACACAGTATTTGTGATTATGATTTAGAACAAATGACTATTTCTGTCATCATGTAAAGACCTTGTATCTCCAAATGGCATTTTTTCCTTTTTTGAGTTTATATGATTGGTTCTGAAAACATTACAAAAAAGTGTTATGCAATAATTTTTCAACTCAGAGAGGAGCTTTTCACCCCTCAGTTAAAAATAAAACATATAACTCACTTAATTTGTAGTTACAAGGTCCTCACTTGACAGTCACTATGCATATACTGCTTGTCTGATATATATTATATACTGTATATTTTGGGGGACTGTGGTTATGGTATGTTTCAATGGAAATCCTCTGATTTGTATACAAGTGAAAATAATTTCTGCAAACAGCACACATTAATACTGTATTTCTACATCACATTTAAGATCGCCTTCAAAACTAAGTAACCACTAATATTAACCAACATGCTATACTAACGAATATAACTCTAGCTTGCTTTTGGCCCATAACCCTGTCTTGATGTGAAACCTAATGTGTAACATGCTGTATGTCCTCTCCTCTGCTGCTTTTATCTCTTCATCGTCTTTCTCACAGGCATATGGCGCACATAACTGGCTCATCTCTTCTCTCTCCCATTCAGCTGCCTGTGTTGCACCCATGGACCCAAAATGTCCCTCTATGTATTCACCAATTAACACGTGCTTTGTATTTTGTTTGAACAACCTAACTTACTGCATGGAATCTCATATATATTTGTATATATCTCATGTTTTCTCTCTCCCCCCC